TTAATAACTAATACATAAGAAACTACTGGCTTCTATAAATATGTTTTTGTCTTTTTATGTGAGCAACAGGTGCTTGCTGCTTACATAACACTTTGGAAGTCTTGCAGAGAAAAAGCAGCTGGCACTTAACTTGCCAAATGTCATTTTATGAGCCCATTTCTTTTTTTTTTTCCTCCTTTTTTCCCTCTCCCAGTGCTTTAATCTTCTTACAAAACTCAAGTTTCCTGCTATCCAAGGGAGATTACTGCTTTACATTTGAACCATGTTTTTCTTTATACTAATTCCTTGCCCTGCAACCAAGTAGTTTAAAACCTGTCCTTCAGAGATGACCCTGTGGCTCTGAGAGTTAAAGGAGCTGGTTGCATTCTTCAGAGTCCTCTGCCTATCATGAAGTTAGACATTTCAAAAGCAACCCAATGTGAACAAAGTGATATCCCTGGCTTGCTGCTGTTCTCATGTACAGACTTTTTTTTTTTTTTTGGCCCCGTGTTTTTTTTTTTTTTAAGGTGTGGGACAACTCCTACTTTCTGGCAGGTTTTGATTGGCTTTCAAAAGAGGCAGTGTCCTATAAATCACCATCTCTCCTTTGCTCTTTCTCTATCACCAGCTGGGGGACAGGTGAGTACAGAAGAGGAAAAAATCCAGCCATTATTACTTAATTCTTGATATCAGCTTTGGTTGTTAGTTTAAATTAGTGGGGTGGGGAAGTAGGATAAAATTTCTTTGTTCAATTTGATCTATAAACCAAAAGAACTGGTTTCTAACATCAGTTTGGGCTGATGTGTAAAACCAGTGAAAAACTAGTCAGCAGGTGATATGGGGAGGGTTGTTTGAAAATGTATATATATACGATTATTTTTTTCCCTTTCCAGTTCATAATTGTACAGAAGTGTCCCTCTTTGGGATAGTAAAAAAAGGAGAAACGTATTGAAAAATTTAAGATTTTTCACATTAGTTAAATGAATATTTCGGTTTTTTCCAGGACTGTTAATAACTCCTTGAAGTTATTTAAAATGGGAAACTGATCTAGCAGAATGGGCTTTTCTGTCCAAGTTGCTTTTGCAAGTTAATGACTGTGTTGGGGCTGCCTTTATCTTATGGTTGGGTTGAGGGGGTGTTTTTAAGGGCTGCTCTTAATTTCTTTATATGTCTGTGCACTTGCTGGCAACTTTTAGAATTGAATAGATAGTTACACCATTTCCCCCCTGCTTCATGTTTGAAATAGAAATAAATGAGTGCCATAGGTAGGATTTTTGCATGCAGCTGTGCTGCCTGGTGAACCAGGGCTTTCACTGCCTGGTATAAAATATGTTTACCTAATGTTTGAGTCAGTCTAGACTTGCAAGTAAATTCTTAGCTTGAGCCTCTGCGGTTTCACTCCAGGTGAACCAGTCCAGTAGGTGGGAAACCAATTTCATCCTAGTGTGGCATTTTTAGCAGCAACAAAGTTTAGTTTGTACTTTGTTTGTAGAGCTCAAAATGCCTTTTTAGGTACTTTATAAAGGTAAATTTCCTGCCACAGAGACCAGTGAGTCTCTCTTAGTGCTTTAATAGCTTTTTATTATCCCATTCTGAAACAAGAGGGGATTGTCACTGCTCCTTAAAGGGCTCACACTATCCTTTAACACTCATATTGGTTTTCTAGCAAGAAACATGTCTTATGAGATTTAGTTTTCTGGATGTATGTCTGCCTGCTGCCTTCTTGCCCTGCACACTTAACTATTTTTGCACCTGTTGGCTAATTTCAATTAAGCTTAACAGAAACTGAGTCTCAAAAATAGCAAGAACACATCTGTTTTGTGAAAGTGGTCTTGCAGGAAGGAACTCTCACAGAATGGCAGGGGCTGGAAGGGACCTCTGGAGATATGTAGTCTAATCCCCTCTGCTAGAGCAGGATCCCCTAGAGCAGATAGCTGCATCTTTAGTGCCTTGGCTGAGCATCAGAGAGTGGCTGAGCTTGCAGGGGACCTCTGGAAGTCACCTGGTCCAGCCCCCCCTGCTGAAGCTGGGCCATCCAGAGACAGTTGCCCAGGATCGTGTCCAGATGGCTTTTAGGTATCTCCAAGGATGGAGATCTCTATGGGGAACCTGTGCCAGTGCTGGGTCAACCTCAGTTGAAACGTATTGAAAAATTTAAGATTTTTCACATTAGTTAAATGAATATTTCGGTTTTTTCCAGGACTGTTAATAACTCCTTGAAGTTATTTAAAATGGGAAACTGATCTAGCAGAATGGGCTTTTCTGTCCAAGTTGCTTTTGCAAGTTAATGACTGTGTTGGGGCTGCCTTTATCTTATGGTTGGGTTGAGGGGGTGTTTTTAAGGGCTGCTCTTAATTTCTTTATATGTCTGTGCACTTGCTGGCAACTTTTAGAATTGAATAGATAGTTACACCATTTCCCCCCTGCTTCATGTTTGAAATAGAAATAAATGAGTGCCATAGGTAGGATTTTTGCATGCAGCTGTGCTGCCTGGTGAACCAGGGCTTTCACTGCCTGGTATAAAATATGTTTACCTAATGTTTGAGTCAGTCTAGACTTGCAAGTAAATTCTTAGCTTGAGCCTCTGCGGTTTCACTCCAGGTGAACCAGTCCAGTAGGTGGGAAACCAATTTCATCCTAGTGTGGCATTTTTAGCAGCAACAAAGTTCAGTTTGTACTTTGTTTGTAGAGCTCAAAATGCCTTTTTAGGTACTTTATAAAGGTAAATTTCCTGCCACAGAGACCAGTGAGTCTCTCTTAGTGCTTTAATAGCTTTTTATTATCCCATTCTGAAACAAGAGGGGATTGTCACTGCTCCTTAAAGGGCTCACACTATCCTTTAACACTCATATTGGTTTTCTAGCAAGAAACATGTCTTATGAGATTTAGTTTTCTGGATGTATGTCTGCCTGCTGCCTTCTTGCCCTGCACACTTAACTATTTTTGCACCTGTTGGCTAATTTCAATTAAGCTTAACAGAAACTGAGTCTCAAAAATAGCAAGAACACATCTGTTTTGTGAAAGTGGTCTTGCAGGAAGGAACTCTCACAGAATGGCAGGGGCTGGAAGGGACCTCTGGAGATATGTAGTCTAATCCCCTCTGCTAGAGCAGGATCCCCTAGAGCAGATAGCTGCATCTTTAGTGCCTTGGCTGAGCATCAGAGAGTGGCTGAGCTTGCAGGGGACCTCTGGAAGTCACCTGGTCCAGCCCCCCCTGCTGAAGCTGGGCCATCCAGAGACAGTTGCCCAGGATCGTGTCCAGATGGCTTTTAGGTATCTCCAAGGATGGAGATCTCTATGGGGAACCTGTGCCAGTGCTGGGTCAACCTCAGTTAAAAAGGAACCTCCTGTATTTCATTGTGTGCCCATGGCCTCTGGTCCTAGCACTGGGCACCACTGAAAAGATCTTGGCTCTGTCCTCTTCACACTTTCCCTTCAGGTATCTGATGAAATCTCTCCAGAGCCTTCTCTCCTCAAGGCTGAACAGTCCCAGCTCTCTCAGGGGAGATGCTCCAGGCCCTTCTTCATCTTTGTGGCCCATCAGCAACATAAGCTGAATCAAACTAATCAATGTTAGAGAATCAGGATGGGAGAAACGGATCCATAACCTTTTAGATAGAAATTAGTTACCCCTGAGATTGAGTTCTCAGGAAATGGGGCTTCTTCACTTTCAGTGCTCAAGGAATAGCTTGTTTGCTCTAGCTTTGGAAGTGCAGTGACATACAGGATTGGTGTATAACAAGGAATTGCAAGAGTCTTGTGCAAAGCCTAGAAGAGACAGAGCAGTTGCTTCTGTAGCACCGTGACAGGAGAGTCAGCTTTGATAGATCAAGCCTATAGTCGGGAGACTGATGCCTCTGTTGGGTTTGTGGCTGTGAGGTGCAGCACAGGCTTGGCTAATTGACCAAGCTTCTCAAGGGAATAAACAAGGGAGCCAACAAGTCTAAGCAGGGGGGAAAGATGCCCCTTATCTTTGCTCAGTTTTAATATGCAAATGTGCTCTTTAATTATGCGCTTTTTTGGGTGGAGTATCTTATTAAGTATGTGATAGGTAGTTTAGCAAGTCTTCTGCATCGAAATCGCTGCAGTCCCTGAAGCGTCAGAAAATTCTCAGCCTTGTGTGTTCCCATAAGTGAAAGGAACCCCGGTATTAATTGCTTGTTTGCATTTCTATGCCTGTTAGAGTTTGTAGTGCTGGAATTTAAGTAGCTGCACCTCAAGAATTGTATTTGAAAGAAGTTAACTGAAACCTCAGAACAGACCGTCGTGCATGCATGTGGGATGTGTTTGGGGTGAAAAAAATCCCTACTATGAAAGATTTGGAGGGAAAGAAAAGCCAACTTGGAGGTAGCTCAGGGATACTTTTGCAATGTGTTGTTATGAGCAAATCGTGTCTTTTTTCTTCTTTTTTTTTTTTTTTGTGAGGTAATTAAAACATTTTCATGAGTCCTGGGTAAATAGTGTTTCTCCTTTGTTTCCTGGGTCTGTCCATCCAGGGTATTAAGTTTGAGCAAACCAGTGCTCTAGAAAGAGGTTCACTGCTGTCTCTGTTGGCTTAGCTGGGTCTTGCTGATGCAATACTGAGGAAGTTTGCTTATTCATGACAGTCTACAAAACTTTTACGCCAAAGTACCTGCAGTGAGGCTGTGTCATCATATCTGCTGAGCTTTTTGAATTCTGTATTTGTTGTCCTTTGTGCTTGAAATAATGGTGACTGTTTTTAAAAGGCTTAAACCCGAATTGTATTCTCACTCTTCAGCATACTGGACTCTGTGCTGGGGCTGTGAATATTTTCTTGAGCTTACTCTGGTGAATGCATTGCCTTTGTTCATGTTACTTTACCAGCTGCTTCTAGTAGACGTGGCTCTCGGTTGGCACGTCAGCTGGGACTTGGATTGCCTCAGACTTCTCATTAGCCCTTCAGAGTTTTCTAAGGGAGTGTTTGAAATGTTTAGTATGGTTGAGTCATTTGTGACTAATGCTTTCCCTTGATGTCCTCCCAGCGCATTTGAAGGAGGAAGATGCCGATTGTGAAAACCGTGAGCCGAGCTGCCAGCCAGCTGCTGCAGGGCTCTGGCTGTGGGATTTCCATCGTGCCTGTTCGGTGCATCGGGGTCTCACCCCGCCAGGTGGCCTCTGACGCCAGCTTTCACTCCGTGACTTTCTCCGAGTCTGCTCATCCTCGGGTCCTAATTACAGGTCAGCATTCCAAAAAAAAATATGCCTGCTGCAGCTCCTTCACTCCCCTCTTCCCTCCCTGGTGAGCAGAACGCTGGAAGCTAAAATACTCAAAATAACCTGGAATTGTGATGATCTTTCCCCTGTGGTGATAAAATCAGTCTCCCATGTGACCTTTCCAACTGATTTTCTTCCTGAAATCTACTGAAACCAGTTAATTGGGTTTTTCTTGAGAAAAATAAAAAAGCTTTGACTCACTGAAAAAAAAAAAACACTCATCTCTCATGTGATACATATGATAATGGAACTCTTCTGATACCACTTTTTCTCTGACTTTTGTCTCTTATGTATTGCCTTTTAGGTGGCCTTGGCCAGCTTGGAGTGGGTCTTGCTAAGCTGCTGAGGTATGTCATGAATCTCTGACTTGAGGAATTCAAGCTTTAGCCATAACTTTTAGAAGGAATCATTTTCTGGGAAGTGTTTTTTAAAAAAATCCCTTGTTTTGGTCTAGCCAAAGAAGGCTGGATTTGAGTGCTCAATAGAGAGACAACAGGTTGGGATTTTTTGCAGGTGCTACAGGAGAGAAAGAAGTGCAAACATCTACTTGAAAAAAATGCATAGTCCTTTGCTAACTACCCAGTTGGGCTTTGCAACTGCTGACTTTTATCCTTCTGAGAATTTAATTTAAGTGGCTTCAGAAATAAGGTGCCCTATTTAGTCAAGTGCAAACAAAAATAGAGATTAGGGTACAAGATCTTGAATTTTTTTAGTATTTGGTAAAAGATGAACTCAGGCAGCAAAAGGTGTAAATTGAAAATGTATTTCTTCTGGTTCTGTCTGTTTTCCTCTGCTTCACACACACACGTACGTTATTTTTTCATCATATTATTTAAAGATATTTTGCATTTCTCTTTAAAGAAAAGAGTATCATTTGCACATAGAGGGGTGATTTGGACTATGAACAAAAGTGAGCAAACTCACTGTGCTGCAGTTGGAATGATTTCTACCATTTCTATGATATATTGAAAAAATCATCCAAATAATGGAGGGCTGGAATGTTCTCCAGTGCCATCAGAATTGTTCTCTGTGACTGCCTTGTGTTGATTAGAAAAGCACGACACAGATTACTCAGTTGTATTTACTTTGTTGATATACAAGTAGGAGCTACAGCAAGCCCAGTGGCTTTTTGTTGTCTGCAAGGGAGTGAATTACCTCTGGGTAAAATTTTCAGAAATCATTGTGTAGGAAGGTCTTTCTTCTTCATGTGTTTTCATTTTCTAAAAAATTTGTCTATCCTGTGCAGTCTTTCACTTCTCCTAGAAGTAGTTTAATAATTTTCTAAGATGTTATATTGACTATTAAAGGATTGGAGGATAGTTTTTGTAGTGCAATAACTGATTTCATTGTGGAGATTATTGTTCTTCTGGTACTGCTCCTGCAAAGCAAAATAACAGCACAGCAACTTAGGAAGTATCTCGAAGACTGTGGACTCACTGTACCATGTGGGTATTTTCACACAGGAAACGCTTTGGAAAGAACAACGTGATCTTGTCTGACATCAGAAAGCCTGCAGATCATATTTTTTATAGTGGTAAGTGGCTGGGGAACCACATGATAAAAAACTTGACTTCACCTCTGATGTTGATAGGCTAATAACCAAAGTCTAAGTGCTATGTGGATTAAACTGAACAAGCTGCTGTTTGAAACTTTTGGATAATGCCTTCCTGCTTTGAAATCCTGCCAAGACATTGATTTCTTCTGTCAGTTACTCCCTTTTCCCAAATATTTTTCTTGGCATTTTTCACTGTCTCCTTGCTACCTTGTTGGCCAGATTAAATACTGAAGTCAAGTTGAACTGGGCTGTTGTGCTCTCGCTGTGAAGAGAGATGCATTTATTCTTTTGGAGAAGCAAGTTGGAAATTAAATTTGTGCCTGGTTTTTCCACATACAGGCAATTTTCATTATAAGATGGATGAAGAGTAAGATTTTTGGATTGCTTTATTTTCATTAGAAACTTGCATAGGTTTTTCTTCGTCATTACTACTTAATGATGTATTTAGGTATTTGAACAGTTTACAATCAGTGTTCCCTGCTTTCATGCCAGTGACTGGATGAAACAGGAGTTCTCACATCAGTCTGTTGTTGAGATAAAGGCAGAGGTTTCCCTTCGTTTCTCCTGCTTATTTACTGATTTATTGACCACTACTGTTAAGTGTTGCATTCTGCTGTGCAGTCAAATCCTGTCTGTAGGTGTGATCAAGAAGCAGCAATGTGAGTTTCACGCAGAACTTTTCTTCACATCCATCCTTTTTGGCATTCCATTTCCTACTGGTTCCATTTCTTCTAGGTCCCTTTATCTACGCGGATATCTTGGACTACAAGAATTTACGTGAGATCGTGGTGAATAATCGCATAACTTGGCTGTTCCACTACAGTGCTCTGCTCAGTGCTGTTGGAGAAGCAAATGTCCCTTTGGCCAGAGCTGTGAATATTACTGGTATGTGACAAGGGTTTCAACTTCATGACTTCTGCAGAGGCTTGAGAAAGTGCAGTCTGTGTTCTGATAAATTGTATTGGTTGTTCCAGGTTTACATAACGTTCTGGACATTGCAGCTGAGCATAATCTGAGACTCTTCGTTCCGAGCACTATTGGAGCCTTTGGACCCACCTCTCCTCGAGATCCAACTCCTGATCTCTGCATTCAGAGACCAAGGACAATCTATGGAGTCTCCAAAGTTCATGCTGAACTCATGGGAGAAGTGAGAATTTTGTATTTTATTTATATAATTAAAGTTCTGGGAGATCCTTATTGCTTTTGGAAGATTAATCTCTGCAGTGTTGTTTCCCCCTTCTTTCTTTCCTTCAGGCTTTAGCATTCAATAGTAGTCTGAGGCAGCTTTTAAGGACAAATATCTTTTGAGTTCAGCTGGAAAAAGTGCAAAGAATTGGAAGCTGGCAAACATCTAACTTTAATATAATTTCTTTCCCTGTTTTTTTTTACCTTGGTCTGGTTGCCTCATCTGCCATTATGAATGGCATTGCATAAATGGCAGTGCTCAAAGCCTTGTGGAAGTGTCCTAGACAATGATGGCTTTGACCCCCATCACCCAAAAAGAAAGACTAAAGTCAAAACCATGGGAGTCTGTACATGCACAACTTCTCATTTGGCTTTGTGGTGTTTTAGAAATAGGACATTGTTACAGCTGATGTTTTTACATCCAATTTCCTCTCACTTGAAATCTTTTGATGGACAGTGGCAGGTCTGAAAGCTGTATGAACCTGAAACGTCTCATAACTTAGGCATGTTCAGTTTCTGAACACTAGATCCAGACCTGAAGTCAATCTGTATCAAGAATCTATAGTTATTGATGTGGTTGTAAACTAGAAAAGGGCAAGCAGGGAGATCAGCTACCTGGCAGGGAATGGGGACTGTTCAGTAGTTCCTTTTCTTTCATTCCTGTTAGGGGATGGTTATAGAGTGGAGGTTCATCCCATGGCAGGTTTTTCCTATGAAATCAAGGAGTTGTGTGGCCTCATCTTGATGTGTAAAGTTGTTTCTCTCCTACCTCCATAGTACTACCACTACCGGTACGGCCTAGACTTCCGGTGCCTGAGGTACCCAGGAATTATATCTGCTGACTCTCAGCCTGGTGGGGGAACAACTGGTAAGTGTCTTGTGCATATTTTTCAGTATTGCAGGCAGGAATAGGAAAAACAAGCCAATACAGTAATTTTTAATATATTTGCAGGAATTTAATCTATGTAGAGCATCAGTGTAGCGAGGCTGCTTCAACAACGTTACAACAATAATTTTGTCCACTCCAGCCTAGGGCATAATTTTGTAGCCTTTACATTTAAGCAGTATCTGAGAGATTTTAGATTATTTACATTCACTGAGGCCCTTTTCTTTGCAAATATTTTAAACTCTACTGTCTTGCTGCAGTGTGTAAATGCTAGACCAGCACTGGCATAGTTCAGGGTGACTTACACTCCTGGTGTGCAGCATATGCACAGTTCTGCTGCTAGATTTTAGACAGGAGGCTTTGAGACTGGTCTGAGGATTGTTGACTGTCATGAAGTGAACAACGGCTCAAGGCAGATGAGTACATACATCCATTGTTCTTTCTTCAGATTATGCTGTCCAGATTTTCCACGATGCCATAAAGACTGGCAAATTTCAATGCTACCTAAAGCCAGACACTCGTCTCCCTATGATGTACATCGATGACTGTCTGAAGGCAACTCTGGAGGTCATGGAGGCCCCTGCAAAGGCACTGACCATGAGGACATACAACATCAGTGCTATGAGCTTCACTCCTGAAGAGCTGGCACAGGAGGTGCAGAAGCATGTTCCTGAGCTCCAGGTGACCTACAAAGTGGATGAAGTCAGACAGGCCATAGGTTAGTATCAGCTTATTTGGCAGTGGGTAAGAAAAAACACTGTATTGCTACAAGTTAAGGGCAAAACTGAGTTTCTTTTCTTTTTAGGCCTTTGCAAATTACTCCTGTACAGTTCAAGTCTTAAGGTTGGAAACTGAGCTTTAGTAGTTCAAATGGCCAGTGATGACACATCTGAAAGTTTTAAAGAAATGTTTCTTAACCCTCATGCTCTTTGTTTCTATTTTTTTTCACTGCAGCTGACAGCTGGCCGATGAACTTCGATGACAGAAATGCCCGGAGGGATTGGGGTTGGAAACATGATTATGATCTCTCTGAGTTGGTGTCTACGATGTTTAGCTTCCTTGGGTCTGACTCCAGGATTGCTCAAGCTAACTGAAATTGTTTGTAAGATGTTTCCAGTTTTCCACAGAGGACCAGGAAGAAATGGCTAAATTAGTTTAGAATTTTCTGAGTCTTAGAGCATGTCAGTTACTAATTTTCATGAGTAGCAATAGAGTTGGGCAGAAACATACTGTAGCTGGAATGTGCTTTAGGAAAACAACATCATTTGGTACTGTCTCTCAGCACAGCACCAATGACAAATGCAGAATTCTTGAACTTAAGCAGCTAGAGAAAGAGAAAACAAAAACAACAGCAAAACCCTTACTCCTGGCTGATGACTCTCCAGTCATTCTTGCTGCCTGCCTCTTCTTTGGCAAACAACATGGGGTTATATTGTCAAACGTGGTGTCTCGGGCATATCCCGCAACGTTAGTGATAGGTTTTTTGTTTTCCTGGTGGAGGATGTTAGGTTGTAGTATGATCTGATCCTTTCTACTCTTTACTTACAAAAGAGAGATCAGCGGAGCTACTTCATGTTTCCAAATTGCAGGGGTCGTTGCAATTCTAGTTTGAAATCAACCTTTGGTCAATAGTTCCTATTTTTTATATATATATAGTGCTGTGTAAACATACACTTTCCTATACACAGTTCATACAAAGTAGCATTATTCTTATAATGCTTATAAATGTGAAGGGGAGTAGGACTTTAATTCTCTTTATGCTTTAAAAAAACAGGGTTTACAAACTAAACTTTGTCCTGTTCTTTGAAAGTGCTGCTGCCTTCAGTTTAACCTTGGAGGCAGACCTGAAATCCGAAGAGCTGGTATGTGTAAGTGAATCTGGGGTGTGTTTCAAGAAGGCAATGCCCGGGTGTGGGTTTATTGTTAATCGGCACTACTTTTGGTTATCCCAGTTGTTTGCTGTGCTTGCACAATGATACGCTATCTCTAGCAAGTTCTAAAGGGTGGGCTGTTGATGGAGAGTCAGGTCAGCCTTTGAAATCTGTTCATGTACACTACCTTTTCCGTGTGCACTGTAAGTATATTTGTAGATGCTATTTATGTGTTAACTGTCATATGCTTTTCTTCTTTAGAGAGGGATCCAGAAGCTGAATCCATCTTCTAGCTACAGTTAAGGGCTGTTCTGCTCATTGAGTTTCATGCAGAGGAGATTCTGGGATTAACGAGGGAGTCTTAGTAGATGCATGCAAGGAAGATACATCTATTCAAAATCTACTTAAGGGGACTTTGAGAAAAGGCAAACTGGAATACCAGGAAAGCCATTTGAGGTAAAATATCAGTTTCTGTGGATGTGAATCTGAGCCATCAGATATTTTAGCTATAGCATGCCTTGAGAAACAGCATCTGGGAACTTTGGATTTTATTATTTTTTTTCAAAGAAAAAGTTATCTTTCATTTTCATAATGACTGGAAAATCCCTCTATGAAGCTCTCCATCTTTTTTTTGCTTTGTATACTCCCTTAGCCTGTGTAGGCAAACACATTCAAGTATTTTTTTGCCTACAACTTGTTTGCTCTGTTTCCTGTGATGGTGCTTTGAGAGTTGCCAGTCTGTTATGTTCTCTGTAGCCTGCAGTGTTTCCTCAATAAGCAGATCACTAACATGACCACATTTTCATCTCTGTGGAGAAGTCTGCATGCTGCAGGGAATTTGTTTTCTCATGGAATTAACCTTCAAATGAAGATTCTGTGGTGAAACTCAGTTATTTTAAACATTGCTAAGCTTGTATCTCCTGATTTTTGTATGTATCTTACTGTTTCATCTGTTGGCTAAGTGTGCGTTTCCCAGGTATTTAAGCTCAAAACCTCTAAGGTTATGGCCTATTATTGAAACTTTTTTTTATATTGTTTATATTGTGTCAGAAAGGATAACTTTTTAAACTTTGGCCGCAGTTGTACCTATTATATTGTTCAAGTGTAATATTTGGCCCAATGGGCCAGGGAAAGTTGGCCATCCATTTGTACCCTCCAAGGAAAGACTTGACTCAGGTTTTATCCTCTGCCCTCCCAAAACAACATGATCTCCCAGTGAACTGTTACACTGAGCCTGTAGGTGAAGGGCTGTCATGTGAGCTGACATGTCTTGTCCATTCCAGCCTTTCTTAAGTCAGATGCTGAGGACTACTCATTGCCTCTGTTGCAGGAGACATGTAAAATAGAGTCAATGAGTCTCACTCCATTTCTTTACTTCACTCAAAGGCATGGGGGCTTCTCCCCTCACCCTTGCTCAGAGCTCCAGTTAACACAAGAGTGAAGAGCAAGGATGTTCTAACCTCTGAAATACACTGTCTTTGTGGCGTTGCATTTAAGTTTTTGCTAAGGTGTTATGGTGAAGGTGAAATTCAAACCTATGGCATTTTGAACAAAACTTTTTTGTTTATTTTTTTGTTGTTGTTTTTGTGGGGTTTTTTTCTGCCCAAAGTTGCTGACTCTATTTATGGGCAGATATTTAAGAAACTTTGATTTTGCAAAATCTGAAATAATCTGTCTTGTCAGTAGAGTTGTTTGGAAGCAACGAAGTGGTGATGGACAGAGAATGTGATTAGAGATGGTCTGAGTCCTGTTTTAAATCCTGATTTTCAACCTGTGACACGTGTAATTCCCTCCCCCTCTATCTTCCCCTTTAGCTTCTGTTGTAACTATGTTACAATATTTCTGTATTAAACCAGTTTAATAAGTTACAAAATGTCAAACTTCTGCTACCAGGTTGGAGTTTGACTTTTGGGCAGAGACTTTGTTCATGAAATTTGAGCACTGTAGCTGTTAAACTACCTATTCAGGAAAAAAAAAAAAAAAAGAAAATAATATTTTTTCAAATATTGTAAGTTGTGGATGATGCCTACTTGAATAAAATCCTATGCAGGTGTGTCCGTGTTCTGTCTCTTTGTTTAGAGCACTCAAGGGCAGGGTTGAAGGATGCTGGTTAGTGCTGAAGCCTTTTCCCTAGCTGCAGAAGTGATGCATGACTTGAGGCACAGAAAAGGATACAGACACCCTGGGCTCCCCAATCTGTGCAGTCACTAAAACGTTTTGTGTTATGGTCAACTTTCTGCTGATGATTCCTGTTGCTCTGTGTAGCAGAGTCCCTCGGGCAGGTGCAGCATGGTTGTCTTCCATGAGCCAGTGGGCAGGTGTATGGGCTGTGCTGATAGATGGCAGCCATCCAAAAAGTGCTGGGTTTCAAATATTCTTCTGGCTTGTCTAGGTTTCTTAGCCCTTTCTCATGTTGAGAAGCCAGTTGGTCTGTCTTCAGCTGTGTTTCTGTCCCTCCTCCCATCCATCCAGCTTTAAAGTAGCAAGGAAAGAGCCATGGTGTTCTGGGGGAGGAGCTTTAAAAAGCAGATGCCAAGAAGTTAAGATTGTAGGGTCCTGGTTTCTGCTTCTGGGAAGGTCTTGATTCCACCTGCTGTGCAGCCAGTAATATTGTTCATCAGATGTTTGTGCAGACATAAGTCAGAAGGAGTGGGCTGGTAACTTACTGTGAACCCACCCTGCAATGTTAATCAATTTTTTACGCTCCCTTCAGGGTAAACAAGGCCTTTCCCTCCTTCCACACCTCAACTTTCTGACTATGGGAACTTATTGTGGAGAAAGCATTCCACTTGACCACAATGTAATGACTAATGCAGAATTCTGTCTTGCAGCACAGGAGAGGGTGTTGCAGCACCATGCTCTTTCCAGCTATTTCACTTTGAGTAGTTTGACTCCTGTTTACACATGCGCAGTCTGTCTTCTCTAAGTGCTACAGCTGACAGTGCTTCATCCAAAGCTGCTGCAGCCAGAGAGGATCACTGTTACCTTTGAGGTCCTTCAGGCCCTACAGAAACAACTGTTCCACTTTCCCCATTTTCCCTCCACCCTGTTCTCCAGAGATTTAAGAATATTTGACCCTGTAATCACATTGATGCAGCAAAAAACAAATGCCTCCTCACCTCTTTGCTTTTCATTTTCAAATTTACTTCTCCTGGCCGGTTTGCCTTGGAGTCGGTGTTTGGTTTGGTTGTCCTACCTTCATGGTTCCTTTGTAAGAGGGAAGGTGCAGAGGCTTTGAAGCTTTGAAGGAAGGAGCTCTGCTCCTTCTCAAGGTGTGGGTCTGGTGGAGCGTGCCTGTTCAGCCTCCCCCAGGATTTGAAGTACATGCCTCTGTGTCAATGGGTTATTAATACCCAGGCAGCTGAATTTGAAACGGGGGCCAGAGAAAGTGTCTTCAGTCATCTTGAAAGTTGCCTCCCAAGCCTGGGATAGAAATTTAAATCCTGCCTGAGTCTGGATCCTGTTGCAAAGATTAATTCCTAAGATGTTGAACTTAGTTCCTTTGTTTCAAGCCCATGCAGACACAGCTGCTTTCTGCTCTTGGTTGCTAAGGACATCATAAGAGGAGGAACCTTTCTCTGCCAGTAAGACAGCAAGAGGGCTGTGTGTGATTAACCTCTGTGCTTTTGGATGACCCCTCCTTTCGCTCCTCAGGAGGGAGTCAAGCTCTGCGTGCCTCCAGGGAGGAGAAGCCAGGCCCTGGAGAGGGAGAGAAGAGAGTGCCAAGTTCCAGGGTTACCCAGAGGGCAGAGCATGGTTCCCTGGGGGTGGGATGCCCACCTTGTAGCCCCCATTCACAGCACCCCATGTTTCAGGCAGGGTTGGAGGCTTTCCTGCCCCACCCTGGGCAGGCTGTTTCTATTTTAGATGAATGCTGGCTGGCACTGTGAAACCTTTGCCCTTCTGGAGGCCTGGGCCAGAGGAGCACTCTTCAGGCTATTTTTGGATTCATACCATAATTGTACTCAATCCTAATTGTGCCTGGATCCTGTGGCACAGTGGGGCTGGGGGGGTGTGTGAGGGGTGGGCTGGCACATTCCCACTGCAGTGTCGCAAGAAGGATGCTGTTGCTGTCCTTCCTGGGTGCTTCATCTACACGGGGGATGGTTGTGATGATGTCTGCCTCTTCAAGCCAGGGTCAGCTTCTGGATTAAAAGTGGGTGTTTAAAGATGGCAGTAACTCGGTGCAGCAGCTAAGAGTTGGCACACGTGGCTGGCTTTGCCAGCAGAGGCTGGATTCAAAAGGTATTTATGCTTTCGCAGTGCTGTTGTGGACCCAAATCTAGGGTGGACCTTGCTCAGCCAGAAAAAAATAATTGCTTCCCACACCTGATACTGCAATTGGAAGCGATTTAGGACATTTTCCTTCAAGCTGGCAGTGATTATCTGCATTTTTGAGGACTCAAGCCAACC